CTGCTGAACTTCAGTCATCTACAGTAGAGATAACTCCTTCTGTACAAATTATCCAGAGCCCCTTTATATTTGAGGGGCAGGAAACAGGCATGTGTTGGTTGCACTTCATCTGCCATATTTTAGAGGCTTATATTAGGATGAAATGAATCATACTCTAAAATTGTCCCTTCTATTGGTCTAAGAAGGAAGGCTAGATGACAAGGAGATGCACTTTAGATGCGATGAAGCAAATCCTGTTCATTGTGTGCGTGTATTTATACTCTAACTGAGCAGTAAGCTTAACAGTTCAGGAATCATTAGACAGCCAATTTTATAGTCATTTTATATTAACATAATGAGTAAATATGTTATGTATTAATATTTAGTCTAAATATTAATGTTTAGTCTAAATATTATGTCCTCACATAAGAATTCACTCAACACTGTAGTACCTCAAAAAATCTGAGCCTGACAAAACTTGAGCAGACAGGACAGATGAGGCTTCTGCAGAAACTGAATCATGTTCATTCTCTTCAACGGCTCACCACATGCTCCCGTTCAGCGGCGGGAGAGTCCTCGACAGACTCAATGACTAGGGTGCTGGCTCTCAGACAGCTTTTATCCTATTAAATGCTGCTTGTTTGTTGAATATTCCCCAGCACTCTCCTCCATTATTACCAGAATATCTGAGCACTGACCACACTGAACTGAATTCTTCTTTCAATACCTAACAGAGCTGCACTTCACTAATGGGATTTTAAGATTCAAAAAGAATCAAATAATTTCTTCAGATGTCAAATAGCCCCAATGCAGTGATGCAGAGGTGGTAATAAATCCAGATTTCAGAACTTTTTGTCCAATATCAAGATAGTGTTTTCTCTGCGACCCCCTGCTGATGGTCTCAGTATGAGTAAGTTGTTCTGTGACCCAGTTAGGGACTCACCGTTGTTCCAAGTCAGCAGAAATACAATACCGGCCACTATTTCTTCCTCTTACATCTTCATTCTCATGACATGTACAAAACCTCCATGGCACAATGTCCAACCAGTTTTTATTTTCCTTTTTACACACATGCTATGCAATGGAAAGATATCAGGGGCCAGTTTTTTTCACAATAAAAAGTTTCCATTAATGGGCTATTTCAGATTCTTACATTACCACATACAAAGGAATCCAACGTATGGTTCTATGGGATGAATGATGCCCCTCTATTGTTTCCTACTGTGATTATCCCAACTGTCTGTACACCACAGACATTTCACTTACGACTACCATTTCCTTTCATATACCACTTTCCCCGCATGCTTATACCTCCCCATCTCCCAGTTTTCTTTCCAGATTTTATGAATATTAACTGGGAAAGGGACAGTACTGTTTTGTGCACTGAAATGTTAGCTTCCAGTTACACATGCTGAACGGCTATCTATGAAGCTGATGATAAGCAACTTTTGAGTTCATATTGTAGTTTTTTCTTCAGCAGTGGCAATAATCTGAGTTTCTCTCCTCTACTAGGGTTTCAGTTGCCACAAATCTTGCCAAAGCTTTCCAACTTGAGATCTCTAATCTTCTGTCAGATTTCATTGAAATTAGCCAGTAAGTATGAAAACAAAGGCAGGGAAGTACAGGGACTGCCTGAAGGACAGATGAGGATAAAAGCAGACAACATATTGCCTGTTTTGGCAGAAAATTAAACCAAATAAAAAAACCTCTATTGTTGTTTTAGGCAAATTTGTGACTTGGAAGTATCTGAAGAGCTGTGTATTGGAAGAATTTGAGTTATTCTTTCCTTGACTGACAAAACAAACATTCTTCATCACTAATGAGTAAATTTCACACAAATAGGAAAACACTTAGGGGATTAGTTTATGGATTACTGTAAATAAAAGAGCACAAATAGAAAGCTAATTTTACAGCAGCACATACAAGCACAACAAATTAACACACCAAGACCTGAAGATCTGCTATGTTCCACACCAGCAATATAATTACTGTAACATAAGTTAGCAATATCCCTTTTTCACTGCCTCTATTTGTGGATAATGGGGTACAGATGACAATGTACAGCACAATTATTTTTACTCTTCCATTCCTTTGTTGCTAGAGAATCTGAGTAGCAGGAGAAAGCTTGTTAAGATTTTTTTTAATAAAAAACTGAACACTTTACATCATATGTCTGGCCAATAAGTACAATTATATTCAAAATCTTCCATTTACAACAGAATAAGACTGAAGATTGCATTTTTACAGATTAAACTGATTATCCTCATTCATTTCTTTCAGTATTTCTTCTTGAAGCCCTTCATTTAGAGAGTGAAGTTAAATAGAATAATTTTGAGATGTGCACTTCCGGGCTACACATACATGTTTAACCATGTATTTAGAAAATTCCTACATATGAAATTTACAGAACTTTGCAGATCAAGTTTTGTTTTGGAGATAGCAGCAAAAATAATGTTTCTGGTTCAGCTATAGTTTTCTTTAGGGCAATAAGCAAACCACTCAGCTAGGAAAGTGATTTTGCGAACGCCGATGGCTCACAATTCCAGATTCAATTGAACAGAAGCTCCACATTCTATATCAGATTTGTGCAACCCAAACACTACCTTTGCAACCCCGTTCTGGAGGAGCAATATAGCTCAACTATCACTGCCAAAAATCAACCTAAAACTAGATGTATTGGAATTGACTAGGACTGCGGGATTACACATTTTCGTATGAGAACATTGTTCAGTAATTCTGTTCCCTGCCAGCAAGCAGTAGCCCGTGAGAGATTTTCTTGGATGAAGACAATAGTTTGAAAAGATTTGATTACACTTAATTAAGCCTGGGGACTGTCACCATCCTTTTCAGCAATAATTGTGGCGTAGGAAATTTACAGAAATTATGGTATTTGTGCAGAAAAAGTGTTTCAGTCCCATAATAGTAGTCATGACTGTATCACTCTCATAAGGGAACTGTTCTAGCTAAATTATAATGAAAGAGAGCTCTAAAGTCGTTCAAAGACTACGCACCGTTTTCTACTGTCTTACATCAATGAGATCTATCAGTAGCTCTCTCATGAAATATTCTAGCAAGAAAATAAGCTGAGAGTAGGCATTTCCTTTCACTTTGAGCCTTCAGCAATTACAAACATCAGATACGGATTTTAGGTAAAATGTTTTGGTTAAGCAGCACTGAATTGTGAGGTTGTAATGCATAAAAATCGACTGATAAAATTTTTGAATAGGAATAATAACTCTAACTTTCCATACCATAATAAGAGCTTCTCTCTATTTCTTACTCTGCTTGCATGGCTCATAACTGTAAAAGGAGAAGGACGCTCAGAAATAGGGAGTGGACTACAACACAATCAAAAATTGTTTGTTTGGGATTTCTTTTAGAGGTGAAGAGAGAAGAGAAGAGTTCTTCGGATTTCCTTTTTGTTTGCTTCCCTAATCAATTACCAGTTGCTCTGACAAGGCAAAACCAAAATGTCCTACTTCTCAGTATTACACAACTCCTTCTATATCACATGTCAAAGTAAAATGGACTTGCAAGGAGTCAAGGAGTCCATTGTTGCCACTCAAAATCTCAGCAACGTAGTCTTAAAATAATTCTTGCAATTTATATTGGATACTTTTTAAAAATTAAAACTTAGTAAGCCACCTGTTCCCCTTCTCCTTATCATCACGAGTAGAAAGAATAAAATTAAATACTCAACTATTTCCTAAAGTGTTTCTTAATAATAAAATAGATTTCCTAGCAAATACCAGGATATTTTAGCATAACAAGAAATCTAAATTGCCAGGCAAATAGTACTATAATTCCTTAAATTGAGCAGCTAGGATTTATACACAGACATCACATGCTTCATAGTAGCTGCAATACTGAAATTACTTTTTCAGAACTGTGTCCAATTAAAAAAAAAAAACCAACAAAAAAAGAAAGAATTTACCAGCGTTCTATATGAAGAGTTGAGAAGGTCCGCGAGGCAGCTTCTCTGGTTAAAAGTTTAAATCCACACTGCGTGTCCCTGATCTCTTTGACACAGAGAAACCATACAAGGAAGTGGAACCCATACATAAGAAGAGTTCGAAAGTAAGAGCGCTGTGGACAAAAAGCAAAAAATTAGATGGTTTCATTTCAGTGATAAGTGAAGTGTTTGAACAGAGCCGGCTTACAGGACAATAATCGTTTCGTGATAGCTTTCAAAGTTTGTAAATTATTTTTGTTTTGCACTGGAATAAAACAAGAACTTTTCAATTTTTACAGTGAAACAAAATTACAGCTGAAAAGGAAAGACTTGCCAGTCAAGAGCATGGTTAGGATGCTGGCCTAGGACATGAGAAGTCCAAGTTCTTTTTTCTGCTTTCCCTAATTCAGAGCAGCTTTTCATTCTGGATAATGCCTTATTAAGTGGAGCAGGAACCTGCACCTAGCTTTCAATTAATGAGTGTGACAGCCATAGTATCTTCTGCATGGTTCTCTGGGAATTCCCCCAGGAAAAGAAGAGTGAAGGCGGAGTGGGATGGCATGCTACATGCTCTATTCCACTGGACACTTACAATCTACTTTTTCCCTCTGTCTAGTCCTTTTGTTTTCCTAAAAATTGGTTGAACAGGTCCAACAAATTCAAAAGTTACCAGGACAAACAATGGAGAATAAGCCAGCAGGACTGCATAAGAACTGCTATTCTTAAGAATACACACTAAAAACTAAACAGGTTCCAGCTGCTACTCTGACACAAAAATAATAATAAAAAAGTTTTATATTATTAAAAAACCCAAATGGGAGCATCTCTTGTTGTTTGCCACCCACTTCTTTCACTCAAGACTGCGTGATCTCTAGAGCTTGCACACACATGTTAACACCATGTTAAGGGAATGCAATTAGAGAATGCACTTTTTTGCAGTATATGATGGACCAAGTAAAAACAGGACTAAAGTAACAGCTGCTGTGCAAGATAATACTTTATTTTATATTTCCAGCAATGTTACACAGTCACCTCTTGTTCTTTTGCTTTCACAAATGTGTTTTATGTTCCTGGTAAACGTTCTCCCAGCCTACTCCTTGGTTACACTTTTGTTCTTGACATAATAATCATACAGGCAATTTTGTCCATGGAATCCAGAGGCTGGACTCTGGGTTTGCAGAGGTCCCTCCGAGTCTTTTATTCAAGACAGCTCCTGAACAACTAGAACTCTGATCCACAAATGGCTTCTGAACTCACTGATGGTCTTAAGCTCAATTTAGGTGATTGCATCTAAGACTGCAAGCCAAATACCATGCAAAATCTTTAGAAGCCAACAATTTAATTGCTAAGCATCTCTGGGTGATAAGAGATGCCTTTAAAGCTAATAATTTCAAACCTCACTTGAAAAATGAGAAGATACTCAGCTTATTATGTAATAGCCTTTGGCTTAAGAAAATTCAAATTCATACCTTGTGCCTCTCAGAAAAGTGCTCTAGCCCTAGGTTAATGGTGGATCTGGTGTGGATTCTTTGGCTCTTTTGGTGAAGGTGAACCACTGTGTGACCAAGAACACAAGGCCAGTAGTCCCAAAAGGGAAGCTCTAAGAGGCTGCATGACTGTCAGCCAGTGAAACTGTGCACTTACTTCACAAAGAGGAGTTCCTAGGTTATGTTCATCACTCCCAGGACTATTTATGCATGTCATACTAGGGATTCATTAAAGTACATTAACAATTTTGGAGGCAGAACAGAATTCTTGATGTCTTGAGACTGAATTAAGGGTGAAATTCTGGTCTTAATAATAAATCTCATACGACTGCTTCTCACAGCTTCGTTCTACTGTTTTAGGTGCCACTAAGCCCAGAGAGAAATCCCAACTTCTCAAAGATTGTTCTGCAATTTTTTTTATACTTATTGCACTACACAACAGTGTCTTCCCAATGTGGTAAGGGTAGTCTTTCCTTTCCAGTCTAGGGACAGCTGGGTGAAATGGGCTACGTATTTCAACCAGAGCAGTACTAGCTAACCAGCTGGTGATTCCTTACCAAAAAGTCAGAAATATGGGGAGAAACAGGAAGCAAAGGATGGACACATCCTAAAAACTGTACTTTTGCATTAAAAGATAAAGTCCTGTTCCAATTCTTCTCCTTCACGTAGTAAGACCTTCAAAGATGAAAAGAAATACGAATGCACTGAAGAAAGTTTATCTATATTCAGTACCTGACCACACAATGAAGCATTTTTTCTGGGCTCAAATTTATCAGCTACATGGTCTCCATTA